CGCCATTTTTGTAATTTTGAGGTTAGATTTAAATTTTTTTTTTCATACACTATAGCATCATGGAAGCGCTCTCCAACAGAATTGGAGAAAACTTAAATAATTAGCTTGCGTTTTTATACTGTAAAATGCGGCAAAGTCACCAGCTCCTTTTTGCCAAAATTGTATTGTTCGTCAGTCATCGATATTAGCATCTACAAGGCTGTATACGTACTGTACGCGGTGCACTTACATCAAGGTGCAGCTTTATCGTAGCATATTAGTAATTTATCGGTGTCAGACTTACCGCCCGCGGTGTGCACAATTTCTGACCAGTGTATACCGCGTTTGGCAAACACCAGTTTACACACTAATAAAATGAAATAAAAGGAAAATAAAAAGTTAAAAATGGTGGTGTCTCTTCTCCGGCAAATGAGGAAATCTCGTCTTCATACCCTAGCGCCAGCACAGCTTTACTCTTTGCTATTCAATTTGAGGTTGTTATAACAACTATCGGCCATTACGACCGAAAAAAGCTGGTCCCCTCAAAGTTGTTATACTCGATTTCCACTGTATATATCAACTGCAAAAATGTTATACATTTTTCTTTTTCTCGCGAGAAATCTTTTTTAAATGTTTGCAAGCACTTTTAGAGCCTAGTACGCTGAAAAGCAGAGGAATATCCGTAATTATTGGTAGCAACTGTAAGTCCCGCTGTTTGAGTGGATTGTGAGTTGACATATTAATCCCTTGTAACATACGCGAAATCGATGGTGTCACTAACTTTTTTAGCATGATCATGTAATGCTCCTCCAAATCGTTTTCTTGTGATAGGTTTTTGATTCTAATAAGTATAAAATAGCAATGAAAATTTAAATTGTTAGGAACTTTCAACTTTTCCACTGAAATCCTAACATTTTTGTTTGAGGTCATGTTCTATTGTTTTGAATCTATAACTATGCATCGAACCACTATCGAATACGATATATCTTGTCCCGCTTATAGCTACTCTAGAACGAATCGGTTTCTTCAAACAATAAAATCCGATTCTCAAATCGACGAACACCTAACTGCCGTGCTAAGGAAGAAGCCGTATGAGCTTTCAGACGTTGCCCAGTGTCCTTTGATAAAATACAAATTTATTGGGAAAGCTATGAATATTTTTCTCCCATTTTTTCAGACAATATTGTTCGCAGTTTAATAAAAAGTATCCGAAAATTTTAAGGAGAAACACGTATAACCTCCTTCCAAAATAAACATTTTATCGGTAGGAATTTGGCAACTTTCGAATGATTACACGCCGTTCTCCCATAGCACGGTAGGATGGAGTAATTGCATGTGTGAGGAATTTGCGATTTGACTGTTGTTTCTTAAGTAAAAGTTTGCAAGGAACACGATGGTGCCACTGGTTTTACCACAGCATCAAATAGGATAATATTGAAGATCGATTATTCAAGCCTCGCCACTGTGGAATACACTTAAAAAAACTTACGTAGCGGATACAATTTAGTCATCGCAAGCCGCACAATTCGTCATTCCTTTGACACAAGGGCGTATTTTCATTTCCACAAGAGCCTTGTTTCTCCTTCAACTCCATGCTTTTCAAAGCCCCTGTGGAAATACAGATACGTCCTCTCGTCAGAGGAACAACGAATTATGCCAACAATTTTACTTACGTAACAATTTAGATTTTAAAATTCATTAATTTATTTATTCTTACGGAAAATAGCTTACTTCAGTGAAATGTCATTTTTTTTGCCGGTTATGTATTAGTCTGTTATCTCGAAGTATAATTCGATCCAATATTTTCGAGATCGCTGCTGATCTTGTTTGATCAGTATCTGGCACCAAGTCGGCGTCGGCGTATTGCCGATGGCGGTACATGATGGATCGCAAATTTTCCTGTTTTCTTGTCAGACCTCCCTCCAATTATAAGCTATTAATCTCTTTTAAACACTCCCGCTTAACTCTGCCAGAGAAAGAGGGGATAGAAAGAGGGAAAAATCAAATCAATTTTGATATCGTAATACTATGCAGATGAAGAGTCAAATCATAGGGAGATTTAAGTAGTTTTCCCAAAAAAGCTACCTTTTGAGTAGCTGAAAAAAAGGTTACCTCTTGTGTAGCTGAAAAAAAAGATTCTTTAGCGACGTGATCGTGAATGTAAAATCTCAATAAATCTACCTCATTTGATCTCGTGAAATTTGAATAATGTATTGATTTATTCGGTCTAACTATTTCCTCTTTTTTTAGCCTCTGAGAAAGTATTTTTAAATTGATGAGCTGGATTGGGTATACATTGCATCATATGTTTTTTTTTTAAAAAAAGCTAATCGATTTGATGGTTCCTAGCAGTTCATTTCTATTTCTTTATTTAGAAATATTTCTTTATTTAGAAATATTTGTTTATTTATTAATATTTCTTTATCCTATTCTAAAGCTCGTTTTAATAACAATGAAAAGATTAACTCTTGATGTTAAACTACACGTGTGAAAATTCAGTGTCTTCATTTTATATGTAAGTAAATTTTTCGCGGTTGTTTCCGACTATGAAGGGATATTATTTCAATTGTAAATATTATGTATTATAATACAAAATATACCGTCCTGAATTCCGGATACTTCTGATTTTCCTTAGATGATAACAAAACTTTCTTAAATAAAATGCTTCACCAATGTTTATGCCTGTGCCAGAAATTATTTGGTAGGTAGAAACCACAAAAAAGTCCGCTTACTTTTTTACTCCTTTTTTTTTTTAAAAAAAAAAGAAAAAATAATGAAGAACTAGAGAAACTATGAAGATAACAATGTACTGAACAGAAGATATGGTGAACCATTCAAATGTATTTTTCTAGTTTTGACGATTGGACTACATTTTGCAATTAGGAACTATCATTTCTGACTCAGTTTAGAAACAACGTATGTACCATTAGTTTTCCTATGCTCATAAGTAGTTTTAAAAATGAGCCCGAAATTAAGGTTCCGAATTGCAAAATGTAGTCCGATTAATCTTTCCATTTTTAAAGTAACTCTCCTCAGTTTTTCAATGTTTTTTCCTGCGATACAATTACTAGATTTCTTGTTTATCAGTCAGGGAGACGTTTCTATCAACGTCTACTCCTTAAATATCATGGAGGTTTATAAAACAACGTGCTGGTATATCCTGTAAAAGCTTATGAGGAATGTGCATTTTCAGCGACCTTTCTGTACTTCATTAAAACTTACACTTTTTAACCATTCAAAGGTAGTCTTTCTCAGAGCATTTGCGCAGTAGCAGACTCTTTCTGTCTTGTAAAACTCATTTCCCATGCAGACAGCGCTGAAATCTAGTTCTTGCGTCGTAGTGGCTTGCTTAGGGGCACTAACTCTTCCTCGGTGTTGCCAACTTTTAAATAATTGTTTCTTCTTTTATCATCATAAAGTAAAATGATCCGTCGAGTCAATTATACTTTGCGTGTCGAAGATTGATAATTGAATACAACTAATAAACGATATCATTTACCAGTCCAGCTGCGGGTCGATTGTTGAATCGTTATCGAATGACCTTGATCGATAAAAAACATTGCTAAGATAGAGATTTATCGATCGAGTTCAATCGATAACGATTCAACAATCGACCCGCAGAACCATCTACCTCTCGCAGAGAGGGAGAAACGATGGGTAAATTGTGAATAATTTTCTCCAAATTTTTCAGACAATTTTGTTTGGTATTTGATCTTATATATCCGAAAATTTTAGGGGAAAAATGACCGCGTTAGGCAGAAAGAATCCAAGCCACGTCAGCTACTACCAAATTTAACTGGGCACTTGAATTTTTTACAAGAGAACGTCGATAAGGATTCCTTTGAAAATGTTCAGGGATTTGATTCGTACTATGCAAAAAATGCACTGAAATATGCACAAAAATCCGCACAACCATTTTCATGTAAGAAATTAAAGTGCCCAGTAAGATTTGGTAAAAGCTGATGTGGCTTGGTTCCTTTCTGCTTAACGCGGTTCATTTGGACCACATTTTGCAATAAGGAACCACTATTTCTCGCTTATTGTTTAAAGAACGTATATGCCATTGGTTTCCCGATGTAGTAAAGTGATTTATGGAAGAGCCGGAGAAAATGGTTCCTTATTGCAAAATTTATCGTACTTTGCAGAAAATTCACTGAAATTTGCACAATAATTCTGCACAACATTCATTCATTCATGTAAAACATTTTAAATTTGGCAGTAGCTAATGTGGCTTGGTTCCTTCCTGTTTAACGCAGTAGAAAGTATAGTACCTTCTAGCAAAATGGGGTCCACTTAGGCGACATAAAATGCAGTTTGGCTAGTTTCGGGTAAATGAGTGATCATACGGCGCACGGTGGATCGAGTCAACAGGGAAGGTTTGACAACATTTGGAAACCCTAAACTTACGACTTCATCTATACAAACTTTGAGGTTTTAAAAGTGGTTTCATTGGTTTCCTCGAAAAATTTTCTTCCGAAAGCACTCCTTCATAAAATGTGATGAAATAAACATCACATTTTGCAGTTTTAGTCAAAAATTCCATATCCGACCTCTCTAATTTACTCGAACCATTCTACTGTGCTAAGGAAGAACGCCGTATGAACATTCGAGAGTTGTCAAATTTCCTTCGATAAAATGTTCATTTTTGAGAAAAGTTATGAATATTTTTCCTTGAAATTTTCCGGACTTTTTGGTAGAATTGCGAGCAAAATTATCAGAAAAATTGGGAGAAACATATTCAAAAGTTTACCAGGAAAGTGTTTTATCAAAGAAGATTTGGCAACGCCTGAAGGTTCATACCGCGTTCTTCCTTAGTACTGCAGAGCCACCCTGGACTTTCATCTTTACCCTCCAAGATGTAAATTCGACAACGCTGTTTTTCCCGGCGTTGCCGCTCCGGGCAACAGACTCCCGGCTCCCCGAGTTAATAAGATGCAAGCCGGGGGGAAGCTGGCACGGCGGGGGATCCACGGGTCCGTAGGCAGACACCCAATACCATCGGACGCTTGGTTCTTGGTCTTGGTGCTCTTTGTTAGTTTCCTGGAACCCTAGGTCCTGATCAGGAGGCCCCGGGGAATATCATCCCAGCTCCGCATTTTCCTTCGTAGTCCGGTCCGGGCGTTGCCCTAGTGTTGTAGCGTTGTGCGTCGTTGTGCTATAAAGTCTGCGCCTTTTACACTCCCCGTGTTAGTCCGTGGCTGTGAAAAAGTTCAACATGATTGGATTGGTAAGAATTTTTTTTTTTTTTTTCGTGCATAGTTTCAGCGGAAAAAATTCGAATTATAATGGCGAAAATGAACCGAGTTCATCGTAAAGGAACCAACACTGGAAAAAAAACATTGGATCTAGAGCCTAGACTCTTTGAAACATCGACAAGAAAAAATACTCTTGATTCAATCAGATTTAAGCTTAAATCAAGAACCAAGCCTGTTAATTTGAGCGGATATCCTTTTGATTTAAGCTTAAATCAAGAACCAAGCCTGTTAATTTGAGCGGATATCCTTTTGATTTAAGCTTAAATCTGATTGAATCAAGATTCCTTTTTCTTGTCAATGTTTTCAAGAGTCTGGACTCTAGATCCAATGTGGTTTTTTTTTTTCCAGTGAACCCACGTTAAGTTGAAACTGGGAAAAAGAGATTTGAAGTTTTATTCCTGCATAATAGTATGTAGAGAAAATGTAAAAAATACCCCTCTTAACCTTCCCTTATTTAACCACCTTTTCATAAAAAAAAATTAAATTTTCAGTTTTTTGCAGGAGAAAATAGATGGCAAATGAAACTCAAAAATATTCTCAACTCAATTTTTTCGAAAATATGGGTTACTTCCTTTTTGATAAACTCGGCCCAACAGATTCTGTGATTGTGGAAGATTTTCTTTTTAAATTTTTAAAATTATTTTTTTAAAAAAACGACTATTTTGTCGTTCCCCTCACAAAAGAAGGTAACTCCATTCAAGGAGATCAAAGGACAAGGCGCAGAAGTGCAGGTTTTGAAAAAAAAATTGAGGTATTAATGATCTTAAATAAAACTAGTCGTGGTGTATGTACGAGGAAAAATTCGCTCTCAAATTCCAACTTTTGAGTATCAACAGTCTGTTTGAGCTTTCTTTCCTCCATTAGGATCCATGTAATTTCGAAACTTCAAAAGCAAACTTCTGAAAAAAGCAAAAACTGCTCTTATGCACCTTGCCCTCCAAGCCACTCATTTCCATATTGGAAATTTACCACGGAAAAAAAGTGTCAAGAGCTATCCCCTCAAATTGTGGTGCTACCTCAATTCGTTGGATGATGTAGCCTTATCCATTATATTTAATTTCCATTAGTTGGGATGGTAGCTCTTGGGTTAGTAACTGAATATATTGGGGTATAACCACAATTGGACTACATTTTGCAATTCGTAACTATAAATTCTAGCCCGGTTTAAAAACAACGTATGTGCAATTAGTTTTCCTATGCCCATAAGTGTTTTTCCAGAAGAGCCAAAAGTTATAGTTCCAAATTGCAAAATGCATTCCAATGAATGGGAAGTGCTACCGCAATTATTTGGGGTGTATCACAATTATTTTGAAATATCCTTATCATCGGACAAGGTCTTTTCTTTCAGTTATTTACTATTAAAGATATTACTATTTTATACTTAAAGATATGGGTGAAATCATATTCTGAAAATATATCTTGACTTAGAGCTCTAACTTTCTTCTTGTTCATTGCTCTATTCATTTTTTTGCTAAATTTTGCACGAGTCAGGCTACATAACGCGCATTATTAGCTGTATCGGGTAGATCGTAAACTAGAACTTTTAGGACTTAGATGATGAGAAGGACTCGCAAAATTTCGGAACATGAGGCGACCAGAATGTTTGATAACCAAAACAATAATTTCACTACTACCAACAACTCGCGGTAATCCTGTTCCACCCAGGACGACCAGGCACCAATGCTGCATAATGTTGTTATTAACGTGCCATCAAGTGCTCTCAGTACGTCACTCGGTTAATCAATGATGTTGCCATGTCTCAACTTCGTATCGCAATTCCTTCTCGTGGTTGGACAAGAACTACGAGTTCATAAGGCTGCAATTTGACAACAACGCTTTTTAATTGCGGTGCGTTAAACTCATACCAAAGTGTCGCACAAGATCGTAGTATTTTCGCAATTTCGTGTGAATCATTAAATGCAGCATTTTAAATATTTAGTATACTAGCTGTTATCGAACATCTGCCATTTTCAGGGATAACGCTTTTTTAGAACCCGCTAATCTTCAAGAGCGTCACAGTACCAAATTTCATTTTGTAAAAAAGAACCACGAGCATACCAATGTCACTAAGATCATGCAATGTTTTTCATCCTGCAAATGTGTCTTGATTTTTCAAACAAGTTTAATCTTTACTTACTCCCAATGAATTATAAATTCATGATGAATGTTACCGTTGCTTTAATTTTTTTCACAATTTCAGTAATTTTATTGCAACCACGTGAGTTGCTTAACCCTAGCAAAAGAGGAATGCTCTTGGTTCCTTTTTGCAAAATGCAATCCAATTACGATACAAATTGTATAAAAGTCCATGTACTCACTTGCGGTAAAAAAGCAATGCATTATTAATTAACTAAATTTTACCGCAAGTGAGTTCGCGAAATTTTATAAAATTTTTATCATATTAAAAAACTTTGAATACGGTTTTTTCGAAACTTAAAAACGCGACATCCTCTGTTTTTACATATAAAGGCTTTGTATACCGTCTTTCAGACGAGATGAGGTGGAGTGCATTTTGCCAAAAGGAACCAAGAGCATTCCAATGTTGCTCTGATTGTGCCATTTTTTTACCTCGCAAATATAAAGTGATCATCTAAACAAGTTTGCCTTACTCCCAATAAACTATAATTTCAAGATGAAAACCACCCTGTAAATTCGATTTTTGGCAGGATTTCAGTAATTTTATTGCAAGGAATGCAAGTTGGGTGTCACAGCAATGCCCCGCAGATTATTGCCCCGTGAAACTCAGCCTGTTGCTGTTGCGCGGAGAAATGCAACTAATATAATAACTAACTAATATAATAAACTAAAATATACTGATGAGATATCAACCAATTATAAGAGGGTGGGCTGTCAAATGTAACTAGTTAAGTGATGAAAAATGGCATTAGGAATTTTTCGCTGACTTTGATGTTTTTTTTTTACCAGGTGAGGTTATCAAAAGTCAATAACATAATCTGCGGGGGAATAAAATTCTACAATTCTTGGTGCGGGGCTTTGAAACAATTTTATTTCATTCCTGCGGGGGATTGCAAAAATTTTGTTTCATTGCCCCGCACCATAAGTTTTATTGCAATGCCCCGCATTTTGCGGAGCAATGAAATTCCAGTTTGTTTCATGGGGCAATAATCTGCGGGGGATTGACACGTGATCCCAATAAACTATAATTTCAAGATGAAAACCACCCTGTAAATTCGATGTTTGGCAGGATTTCAGTACTTTTATTGCAAGGAATGCAAGTTGCGCAATCTTAGCAACATTTGATTGCTCTTGGTTCCTTTATGCAAAATGCAATCCAGGTGATCTCACGTGGAAAATGGAAGCATCGAGTAAATTGTTCTAATTAGTCGACCGACTCAATTAATCCTCTCAGCCGTTCGTCTCCTGGATTGATGTCCAGTTGCCCTTGTCCATGTTACTGTTAATACTTGTATACTTACTCCTCTATGTGTATTCTCTGTTTCCGCCGTTTTTCGTTGTGATCGTTCTTCTTCGATTTTTCCCTGCGTTGCGCTTTGTGGTTGTGCATGTGCTCGTGATCTACCTCGGCGTAATTTGATCGGTCTCTCCGCGAATCGTGTACGGGATGATTCTGTCGTGCTAAGGAAAAAAGAAGTATGAACCTTCAGGCGCTGCTAAATTTCCTTCGATCAAAACCGAATATACTGGGAAAATGGAGATGTTGCATGTGTGAGGAAATTGCGATTTGACTGTTGATTCTTATGTAAAAGTTCGCGAGAAACACGATGGTGCTACTGGTTTTCTCTGAAATCAACTCCGAAGCTCAAAAACAGCTCTCAAGTTGAGGCCAAAATGGAGGGGATATCCCACGCTATCCTGAGAGTCCACCTCTACATCATGAAAAACTCTCCATGGAAAGATAGGGAGCAAATACATTAGCAGTGATGCCGTGTTTTAAGTTTTAGAGTCCTCAAATAAAGTGGCAGCCCTGTCAATGTATTTGCTCCCTATCTTTGCATGGAGAGTTTGTCTTGATGTAGAGGTGGACTCTCAGAATAGCGTGGGATATCCCCGGCCATTTTGGCCTCAACTTAAGAGTTTTTTTGAGCTTGGAAGTTGATTTCAGAGAAAACCGGTGGCCACATCGTGTTTCTCGCAAACTTTTACATAAGGTTCAACAGTCAAATCGCAAATTTCTCACACATGCAGCATCTCCATTGTGAATATTTGTTTTCAAAATTTTCAGACAATTTTGTACGCAATTTTACTCGAAGCTGCTGAAAGTTTCAAGGAATAATAATCAGAACGTTCCGCCAATGTAATCATTTTATCGAAAGAAATTTGGCAAATCTTGAATGTTCATAGGGCGTTCTTCCATAGTGAGGCGGTATAGATGAGTGGATCTTTCAACTAAAGAATGTTTTAATTCAAGTGCGCTGCGTCACAGAAATGTTGAGATTTTTCAAAATTATTCTTTTTTCCTAGTCAATCAATATTGTCCATCCTGCGGGCTGATTATTGAAATTGATAGAAAAAGCTATAGACAAAGAAGACAAAAGAGATATGGAGGGATCCCATAGGCGGAAGCTGGTGGTTGCAATGGACAAAGGAGGTAGGTAATAGACTAAGTAACGGCAACCCACGAGGGGCCCGATAATTACTCCATCATTTTCTCCCTTAGTCTATAGGAACCACCCATTTCAACCAATAGGGTCACTCCATACTCCTTATATCTTCTTTGTCTATCGCGTTGTCCATCAATTTCAATAATCGGCCCGCTGGAACGAACATGCCCTTTTCAAGAAATCTAGGGCAGTAGCGAGGCGGGAGTGATCCATTATCGACATTTCCTAATTTGACGCTGTGGTACAGAATCGATTGCTAAGGTGTTGGATGCAAACACCCTGTCTATGATCCTTTTCCATAGGTTTGAATGGCAGATCAATCGATTTATTACAAAGCACGCCACGCCACTGATCCAGAGCATTTCGAAGGGAATGAAGCAAACAGTAATTTAGCAATTTCCACCTACAGTTCGCAGATCTTTTTTCTACAAGCGCATATCCTTTTTGGATAGACTAAAACAGCAGCGATAAGATTTGAGAGTCTATTGACAGTTAGATGATCTTCCCCCCCCCCTCAAAAACCCCCAATTATCCACTCGTTTTGTAGTGTATCCGGGTATAAAGAGTAGTAAGACTTTCGTGGAGTGGTCCCCTAAAATATCCGTCACATCCTGTAATTCACTAAAATGGAAGTCCAAGCCACTTGAAAATTTGAAATTTGAAAAGGGATGGATGGAATACTGGTTGTTCGGCTTTTTCTCAAATATTGGTTGATTCTCAGTAAATCCACAACGTTCCGTATTTCGGAGATGGTTCGTGACTTCCCTGACTTCTTTTGGTTTCTCCTCGTAGAACTCATTTTCACAAGGTGATTCCCCTGTTTTTTTTTCTAGATTTAGTTGATATTTAACGTGTCTTAAAAGCGCCTCGGGGGGTTGGACCGCGGAGCGGTCAGGGGACGCACCCCCTTGAGTAAATTTTCGCAGATAAAATTTGATTTCAAGATTCAAATGCACCATCGGAAGGTACCTATCGGTATCCAGCATAGGGGTAGTGTCGTGAACATTCTGCATCTTTGTCCGAGAGAAATGCCCAGAGAAGCAAAAAACCTTTGCCCTCCCCCCCCACCAAATCGTTAATTTTAAAGGAAAACGATCTTGTCAGTTTTATCAATGTTCATTTGAGCGGCTTGGAGGACAAGGCGCATAAGCCCAGTTGTTGCTATCTCCAGAAATACGTGTTTGAAGTTTCGAAATTACATGGATCCTTATGGCTGAAAGAAGGTTCAAACTGACTTTTTTATGCTTATAAATTAGAATTTGGGAGCAAATGTTTCACAGAATATGCATTAATACTAGTTTTACCTAAAATCATTAATATCACAGTTTTTTTTGAAAAAAAACTGCACTTCATCTGAGTCTTGTCCTTCATGGAAAAAAATGAAGTTGCTGATTAAACAATTCTGTGGTAGAAAAAGTGTCCGACATGTTCCAATGTAGATCTCACAATTAAGAACATGCTAATTGAACCACCCCGACCCCGTGGTCATATTAACTATCCACTATTGTAAAATGTACATTTTATACACGTCGGACATATGTTTGACAATTGTATTGTTAAATCAGCAATCCAATTTTAGTGTTCAAGCCCCTAATTTATATTTAGTATTTCTATAAGCAAAACATGAGTCTCCACAATTCCCAATATTTTGAAAACACATCCATTTATTGTTACTCTACTTCTTCATGGACCATCATACTAAACTCATACTGAATCAGCCAATACTACATTTACCGATTGTTTCTTCTATATGATTTTGTCCGAGAGGGGTTTCACCCTCGTCCCCGCGACGTAGAACGCGACGCAAAACACCATTCCGCTGCGTCGCAGAGACATTCTTCGCCTGTATTAGGATTATTCCCTCTCAATCGGACGTATTTCAGCCAAACGGAATCATGGGCATTAAGACACGAGCCCTGAGACCCATAAGAATATATGCATAACAGGGTTCACGTGTGATGCACATTGTTCCGTTCGGCCGAAATACGTCCGATTAGAACTGGTTTTGGCGATGATTCCATCTCGATTCCTGGTTATTTTTAGCGCGGGCATTTTCATTCAAAACTGGTTCACGCCTTTCCGATCGTTCGGGCCTGTCAATGCCCTCGCGGAGTTAGGGTCATCGCTCGGGAAAACCTAAGAATCATGGAATGTCCCCCAGTTTATCGAGACGCGAGATCTGAATTTTTTTTTTAAATCGGATGTTTATTCCTATTTTTATCCTCGCGATTGCGAGAATGTCGGCAATCCTTCCTGACGACAAGAGAAATCATTTAATTCGGCGATGAGTAAAAGCCGCGGGCTGCGGTAATGATGGGCGTAGCTTCAGAGATTCTCTCAAAGGCATAGCGAGGATTTGCGGCGTTGTAGACTTCCTGTCATACTTTATTTTTCAAATGGAAAACTAATCGACGTCTATCCTTGAAAACTTCTCTGATTTTCCTTCCCCGGAGGATGACTCTGTGAAAATTTCAAAAAATTATATCGATGTTTTTCTCCCCCAAACACACAAAAAAAGAAGAAGAAAATAAAAACGAATCTTGAGTGAAATCTCGTGTGATATCGCCTCCACTGATCTATTTTGTTTGTTTGCAGGTAGCACTTTGCGCTTTGGCCGTTTTGGCACCCACCGAAGGAAACCCGATTTTGGGGTACCCGCCGTTGTTGGCGCAGCCGGCCCCAGCCGCGATTGTACCCTTGCCCCTGCTTCACTCCATCCGGAGTCAATATCACTCCCAGGATGAGCTTGGCCAGTACTCCTACGGCTACAGCAACGAGCATTCCAGCAAGGTGAGTCGATTGATGTGTCATATCGTCGCTTGGCTGACATAAGGGCGTACACCTAGAGATGAGCCCAGGAAAGCATTGATTTATATGGATGACAGGGTTCATCGCCCAGTGCAGTATTGTTTGAGGTTATCATATATTTACAGTTGGGATAGATGTAGATACTCGAGCTTATTTCACTTCAGCTACTATAATTATTGTTGTTCCCACAGGAATTGAAATTTTCAGTTGGCTTGCTACTTTGGGTGGGATAAAGTCTAATAAATTCAGTCCTCTCGGTCTTTGATTTACAGGATTCTTATTTTTATTCACTATAGGTGGATTAACTGGAATTATTCTTGGTAATTCCTCTGTAGATGTTTGCTTGCAAAACAACCCTCACGTCAGGAGGGCGACGATATTAACCTATGGAAAAGGATCGATAAAAAGAGAACACCTCAATAATTCTGCCGTGCTAAGGAAAATCGCCGCATGAACCTTCAGGAGCTGACAAATTTCTTTTGATAAAACACGAGTTTCCTAGTGAACTCATGAATATTTTCCGCCCAATTTTTCGGATAATTTTGTTCGCAATTTAACCTAAAGTCCCCGAAAATTTCAAGGAAAAAAATTCTTATCTATACTCGAAAATAAAAATTTCATTGAAGGAATTTTGGCAACTCTCGAATGTTCATTCGATGTTCTCCCTTAACACGACAAAATTGACAATGATCAAAAATTAAACAGCGGGCAACAAAGCTAATTTTCACGCAAATATACCGCCAGAACGGTTCGGCTGAAAACTCAGCCTTCCTTAGTTGGATATCAACAGTAAAAAATTGTAAAAATCTAAAAACGTAGTACTCGGCTGCCCCTTCCAAAGCGAGGAAAATCTTGTATATAAGAATATTTGTGCGCAACATTGTGCATAACAGCATTTCTCTTGCGCTGAAAGGTAAAGCCAATCACTACGTTTTTAGATTTTTACAATTTTTTACTGTCTGCATTCAACTGAGGAAGGCTGAGTTTTCAGCCGAACCGTTTTGGTGGTATCTACGTGAAAATTAGCCTTGGTATCAGCTGTTTAAATTGTATTTGTATAGTTGTGGTGAGGTCCGACCTGCAATCTAGTCCTTCTATTTTCACCAATGATACAAATTCCCCAGCGAAATAAAAAAGTCAACAGCACGCAGTGTTCCCAAGCGGTCTCCCATCTAAGTACTAACTACGCCCGATGTTGCTTAACTTCGGTGATCGGACGAGAACCGGTGCTTTCAACGTGGTATGGCCGTTGACGAGGTGATGTTTCAGCCATTCGGACGTTGACTAGCCGCAAAAAGGCACGATCTCGTCAGACCTACCTCCATCTTTCACTGTCTGGATGGTACAGGGTGATCCCAGGTTAAATCGCTAAACTATAAGAACACATTCTATGGGTAAAAATGTGACATTTTTCTCCTATAAAGTATCTTTAAAAAGTGCCCCCTAAAGAAGCTATGCCCCCGCCGATTTTGGGAAAAAATTGTGGTTTTTTCAGTTATGGATCGTTACTCGTGTAAAATACTTAGCCCCTTCATTCTCAGTGCTAAATTCATCCATGGTCTTAAAAATACAGGTATCTGAAGTTAAAGGGAGGTTTTGGGGCCTTACATTTTTCAGAGAAAAAGACTCGTAAAAATGTTCCATAAAATCCCCCTGTAACTCGGGATAATGATAGTCTTGAGGTAATGGATTCGAATTTAGCACCAACTTTGTTATTGTATATCCTCTCAAAAGCTGCAGAGCATCAAACAAATCTTAATAATTGATCTTAATCCGTTGCTTCAAATGGGGAAATATTGATAATCGATCATTCACGTCTCGCCACTGGTTTGGATCCTACAAACACACGCTATTTTCCTCATATTGGTCCGTTGTGCTCGAAAAATTGACAAAAAAATTATACTTCCTTAGAGTAAATCTACAATGGAAGTCAACAAACATCCACAAGATGTCTAACGTTAGTAAAAACCAAATAATATAAGGAAATTCTATATTATCTGGAAAATATCAGGAAAATTGACCGTGAATTACAAAATTCTGAGTGCTTCAAGCATTTTTGAACATTCAGTTTGAGTCATTAAATATGTTAATTGGTTTGAATCAAACGGGTTCCAATTTTTTGCGCGAAAAATCAGAGAATCTCGTCTAAAATATCAGGAAACATTGGGGAAAATTTTTAGGAAAATCCAAAATTAAATTGTAGTCGACACCTTGATTAAGATGTCGAACAAATTCCTCTAAACTGCATATTAAAGAGACCAAATACGAACACTTTTGTCGATAATATTCAATCCATGGAAGTGACTGCTTTTCTCCCCAAATGAGTGGCAACTAGTCTTGAATGGACGATATGGGATATGGCTAGTTTTGCTTCCACAATATCCTTTTGAGGCGGTTGAATCCTATGGGAAAAGAAACATTCCCCGGTAAAAATTGGTGATAAAAGCTGCGTTTCAAAATACCATGAGAACTCTTATAGCCGGCTAAAGAAGGCTACAAAAATTCATATAGCTGACTGTACAATGCGTAGAAAATCATACAGCCGGGATATACGAAGCGATAAAAAATTATGCTGCCGGGCTACAGATCCTATCGCCGGGCTTTACACTTTACTGCCTGGCTGTTGCTTTTTCGCCATCGATTATTAAAGGCTATAAGAAATTGTGTAGAAATCTTGTGCTTTGGAAATCATTAAGTTTGATACGGAACCACCTTAATATTTACAAAACACACATTATATTTTCCTTTAATACATATTTTTTTTCATCAATTAAAATGAGAATAATCCATACAGGATGTGGAAACATTTCAAAATCATGAGTTGAATAACGCTGACTCCACCAGATTAAATATTAGAGCCTAAGACAAAGCGGAGCGGCGACGCACTGGCGCCTACAAACCTAACAGGGATACTTCACGCATTGCGCAACGCGTGAAGTATACCTGTTAGGTTTGTAGGCGCCAATGCGAGTTTCGGGCTGGCTGCCCGCCTGCCACGGCGCTTGAAGCAACTGTTTCACACCAGAGGTATCGCACAGTATCATACGAAACTGAAGGCGCTATACTATATTAGTAATGGCAGGCATCCATCAAAAGTACGGAGGTTTCCTCGCAAAATAAATCAAGATACTACGGTCCGAAAAGAGAGCAGTACTCCAAAAACTCACTAAGTCCTAGCATCCGTAATTAGTAACGTTTAGCATACACTTTATCGCCCGGCTGTTGCTTAATCGCCTTCGGCTGTAAAAGGCTATAAGAAATTGTGTAGCCGGCTATAGAAGCTATTGGAAATCTTACAGCCGGCTGCAGGTCTATGGTATTTTGGAACACAGATTCTACTGCCAATTTTTACCAGGGTTCCCAAAATCTTGCCAAAGTATTAATCTCAGACAGAGGTATTACCAGTATTTTGGATGGCACGGTTGATAAATTACTTGTCATGGCAATGCTTAATGTTATGCTTACCTCCTACACCTTTCAGTTTATCAGTGATTTGCGTAAAACTGACTGCCTAACAAAATCAAGCTTTCTAGTGATGTGAGCAGTTTCGAAAATAGTTCTGATAATCTTTGTATAGCCCTCCTCAATAAAGTTCACCTAGTCTTTCTACTTAGTCAGTGCCCTGCTTCTGCCAATCTTGCTGAGTCGTTGTATTTCTGCTACGATGCATGTATTGGTGCATCACATCAGTATGTAGGCGCTTTTTATTTCAACGAAGCATTGAAAACTAGAATATTTAATTCGCTCATCACTTGGGTCACTCCAGATTCATTTACCAATGGACCAACCGATTTGCCCGAAAGCACTCGCCGTTTTGACCTGTTTTTCCATTGAGTTTCTTCGTAAAATTGGACTGGATTTTGCGGAAAGGAACCAAGAGCATTCCAATGTAGCTAAGATCGTGCAATCTACATTCTTTGAAATAAAAATTCTGAAATCATGCAAAAATTGACATTTACAAACGTAATTTTCTTCTTGAATTTATAGATTACTTATTGAGAGAAGAGATGAACCTTGATGATCAGATGATCAGTTTATATTGCAAGGTAAACAAGCAGGAAGCTCCAACGCATTCGCGTCGGAGAGCGGCTCTGGCGACAGTAGTTGTAGTCAAGAATGAGGGCCTAGACACATTTTGTCACTGATGTACAATCCGACAACTGTCGATTCATGTTTTGTAACTTAGCAGATTTACGTAGCCGGTGTATAAATGTGTATACTTGTTGTATACTTTTAATTTTGAAGGCTCTTTGGAGGTCCGCATCCTAAAAAATCTCTCCCACAGTATTTTTTTTAACTTGTCGTTGTGATTGGGCGCCAATTTCTTTCAATTGAGTGATCATCTTCTTTTTTTTGTCAAATAACTAGTTTGTGCAACAATAAGACTGAAACTGACTGTAACTGAAATTTTGTCTTTTTAGATATTTGGTTATTTTGTATTTATTAGATTGTATATTTTCACAGCCCTGTGATAAGAAACTTTGGAATGCATTGTTGATAAGTCGTTTAGCGAGGCTGCAAAAAATTTGCATTTTTATATCTGAAATTGTAGGTAATGGTTTTGAATATCGAATTGCGATATATTACACGGTTAAGATAGGGCTATATGTCTTGTCGTAAGCGGCGACATAGAGTCGATGTCATTCAATAATCGCCCCGATGGCCACGGTAGTTGTTAGACGTTTACGGTTTCCTTGGTAACCTTTGTTTGCTATCAGCTGATATCGAGTAATATGACTAGGAAGCTCCAACTCAGTGGTTGGAGCTTCCTTAACCGCGAAAACTTTAAAATTCAAATTTTCAAATTTTGAACGTAAAGTACATTTTTTCCATCACGAGATTAAAGCACAGACAAGTTTTGAATTATTGACTGTATCACCATGATTCCAAAAATACACTACACAACATAGCATTGGCTAACAATAAAACAATATGCAATAAAATAAAGTCATGACAAGGAACATAGCCGAAAATGGCGCCGA